AGCACCTGTTAAATTAAAGCAGTACAGTTCTAGACCCTTTTCTGTCACGGCTGAATGAAGGTGGTAAGTGCGGAGTCCGTCGACAGCAACAAAACCGGCCTCTGGATCTCACCGTCCCCCGCCGCTGCGGTGGAAGCCCTAGCGATCCATCTTCACTGACTTTTTATCTTCTATTTCAAATCACTTCGCTGCTTTCTTTGCAGCATCGGATCAAGAAACATTCAGTGGAACAAGAATAAGTGCCATGACACTCCCCTCGCAATAACCGGATCTTGTGATGTAACCAAAACAGTCGTAAGAAAATGATTAAAAAGAAATGAAATACTTAAGACGAATTCTGCGTTGCTGTAGGTCCTGCTATACAAAGACATTGTTAAAGAATATATACCTGGACCTTATCGAGAAGTATAGTGTCAAAGGTCGATGGGACATTGACCTTGAGATATACCCTCACTAGAATAAACCGAATAAAAACATAACGACTATCTCAACAGATGGCGTTGAAAGAAGACAAATGAAATCAATGTTAACAGCAGGACCTGGTTTATGATACATTCGAAGAGGATTTCACATGTTGTTGTATATCTTCAGGCGACTGGCTCAACAGTATTCGTATCCCTCTCACTCCGTGGTTTATTTCAGGACTCTGTTCTTCAGTATCGGCGCTATACGGCAGCGGATGCCAGGATGTTGAATGAAAATTGAATTGGAAAGGATTCGAAGTAAGCGGTAGTGGTGTAAACTAGTTACAATCCTAAAATTTTCCCAAAGGAACTGAGGCAATCCACGAAACCATCCGTAAGAACAGCCAGTGTCACTCTAGAAAATCGAACACAGAACCTCCCGAACTTCTAGAGCCTTACCTCTGAACGAACCTATTTGGTGGGTATTCCCTAAAGCGGGAATTATGTATATGGACATTATTTAGTACTGCAATAGCCTTTTATATGCATATTCGAAAAATGGAGCCTGGATAAAACTAATTTCACTGTTCCTTGCGGCATTTCACACAAGCGCGCAAAGATAAAGCAAATATACTACGTCTATTTTTGTTATTGCTAGTGGGGTGGGACTGTCCCTTGTACTGCGGCCACTTCTGACCTATTGTACCAGCCCTAGATGATAGGTGAGGGTGATTGTGGAGCAATTGGTGGAATGAAGATTGGCAGGGGAAACCGAAGTACTCGGAGAAAACCTGCCCCAGCGACATTTTGTCCACCACAAATCCCACTTGACCAGACCCGGGATAGAACCCGGACCGCCGCAGTGGGAAGCCAGCGACTAACCGCTTGAGCTATGGCGTGGCCCTGTACTACATCTAACGCTGTCCTTGTCTGTGGCATGGCTCCACACATTCTTGACCTCAGCACTAGCAGCATCCGAATGGAACAGGCATAACTGCCACACTGAGTCTAGATAGCTCAGTCAGTATAGTGACCATAGTGACTATGCTACAGGCTGGGTAAGAGAATAATCTTTTTTCTTTTAACATAATATTAGCAATCAGAATTACGTTTGATTCTATAAGCTAATTTGCTGTAGTATTCTTCGTGACGTGGAGAGGGCTTATCCAAAGATAAGTCCTCGTTAACCCTCTCTCAGGTCGGCTGGCCAATTCCTTTTTAGTCTTCGCCCATTGTGAGGTTCCAGTAGCGGTTGCATTAGTACGTTCTCATGTCCTTCTGTTTTGTTGAGGTATCTTGTGCTTTTCCCTTTTATAACTTCCTTCACTAGCGGCACTTTCAGGTCTTCATGGAGTGTTATATTGGAAACATACCATGAGGCGTTAGTAATCATACGTAGTATCTTTGACTGACATCTCTGGATTATGGAAATATTGGTTTTGCTAGCACATCCCCATATTTCCACTCCATATACCCAAATTGGTTTTTTATTATTATTTTGTAAAGTATGATTTTGTTGTCTAATGATAGTTTGGAATTTCTTCCAATTAACCAATGTATATTTGGGGTATTTACCCGACAGTAAATCGGTCTGGGTTGGCTACTCATCTCCAGCTCATGTTGTGCTTAAGAAAAAAACGGAGCTGTACCTCCACCTCTTACATCTTCATGGTGTGATGCTTAATGTAAGCACAGAGAGAACTGCAAGGCCCGGGTTCGAATCCCGTTATGGGCAGGACATTTTCCTGTGCGCCACAGCTGGTCCTCACCCAGCCTCCTATCCAATGGATACGTGGGGTGATTCCTCGGGAGTAAAGCGGCCGCGAGCCGGTCACGGTAGCCGAGCGGTCTAAGGCGACCCATACACATAGGAGTCTGGCTCGCGAGTCCGGCTCGGATTAATTTCACCACACACGTATGAGCGTGGCGACCCACACACGGACCAGTTTTGCTCACTGGAACCCGAGCCGAGTGGGACTCGCGAGCCAGACTCGTACGTGTATGGGCCTCCTAAGGTTCACTCGTAAGCCGGGATCTTGAGTTCGAATCCCACACAAGGCATGGATGTTTGATATGTGTATGTGTTGTCCTGTGTTTAGGTAGAGGCCTTGCGACGAGCTGATCACTCGTCCTAGGAGTCCTATCGTCTTTAAATGATCATGAAACTAAAAAGTCAGAGGCCAGGGCCCAGGGGAGCTTTATGTCCAGTGGGAAAAAAAAGCGGCCGAGAAGTGAAGACGACCACTCGTCTCCGTCTTGTGCCCATGCCAACGATGCTGGAGCTACACCTAAATTTCCGCACACGTCTTCATTTACGTTGCTTCTATCTTAAGGTTGGCCGTAAGGTTATATTTACTGCGAAGAAGTGGCGAGTGAATCATGTTAACTCATTGTAAAACGACCTTAAATATTGTCACCTTAGATGCTTAATTCCTGGAATGTAACTTCCGCCTCACTGGAATTTCGGGTAATCTTAATGTTGACACATTGAGACACGCAGAATGAACCAAGGAAGCTCTCAGCGCCATTCCCTGCTAACACGGGCAATGACCAGCGTAAATAAAGTAAAGAAATAAAGAAAACCAACAGCGAACTAGTGTAAGGTTGTGTCAGTGTCGATGTTTGATGGTGCACTCGTGTTTGCTTGCATTCACGGTGTAGCGAAAATATTCAATGTTGACACTAGATATTCTCCTGTTGTTACAACGTCTGGGTAAATGAACTGACGGCCCGTTACTTGAGTTCAAAGTCAGGGGGGAAGAAGTTTGCAGACGACACTTCAGATAATAAGTGCCGGGATGGGGGCGGGCTATGGGTCGGAGGACCGGGGTTCTGTTCCCGAGAGTGATAAGGTTTTTTTCTTTTCCACAGTATCCCGACCACTTCTTGGACCCACTGCCTTCTGTTCAATGGGTGCTTGGGGCTCAAAAGCGGCCGTGGCGTAAATCTGACCACTTCCATCTGGTACCAAAGCCAAAAATGGTGGAGCTATGTCTCCGCTCTCCTATACATCTTCAAGATGTGGTGCTTAATTTGACAGACATGTACAAGGAAATGAATTCATTATCAATGCAGTAATATAATTTACAGGTTCACATTTATAAGAGAAACGATAAATCCCCCCCAAAATTTAAAGATCCGGTGGGCTTTCAGGTATTCTCAGCGGTAATTATGTAGTGCACTGTCCCGTAGCACGTGACATCAAGTAGTCTGGTAGAGATTTACATATGTTTCGGTGGGACCTGCTACCCCCATTTTCAAGATAAAATAATGGAAACAAAAGATGCCTTAGATGTATTGGTAAATATCTGTTAGGCGCTAGGGCTGCAGTATAAATAGAAAGAAAGTGATGTTGGACCTTGAACTAATAGCCATGAACGTGAAAAGGAAAACAGAGCTAGAATATTGCGGTTTTCTGGAATGTGACGCCGTGACGCTGTCAGAAACTAGACTATATACAACATCGAGAGTAGGATGGCAAAGACCAGTAGTAGCTGTAAACGACAGACCCGTCCTCTTCTCAGAGAGGGTGACCCACATCAATAAACTCGTGACAGTAAAAAAAAAGTCTTGGATACCAGATGGCGTTTCACACCAAGACAGACTTCCCGACTGACCGTCGGTTGTAACATAACTTTGACTACCAAAAACAAACTCCGTGGCCTGTAGTCCGCAAGCCAACTATACCGACCGCGCGGCAGCCGACTTTGACTATCTCCTCTTTTATTTTCAAAAATGCGATTGTGATTTATTAATGACGTTCCCAAAGGGGATTTTTCTTTGCCTCGCTCGCTTTTCAAAGGATCTAATAGCTACGTTTCTGTTAATGGTCTCGTATTAATTTCTGGTGACAGGACTCGAACATTTACAATAATTTTCTCTCCATCCAAAGAATTAGTTAGAAATCCAAAGCCTTGTGCAACAATCCACAAAAATGTTATGAACAGAATTGAGCCACTCGAAAATATACATCACATATTTCAGTTACAGAAGACATCTTACAAGAGGTAATTTGTATATTGTTAAAGTAATTCCTAACTCACAGCTTCGATTCAATTAACTGTCATTTGATGCATATAACGATCACACTGAACAGAGAAACACGTTTATCGTCTTCAGAAACATCCTAATGCCTTATAAAGCATCATTACCTTAAACAGATAGCTTGCATACATACCGTGTTGCCCTTAACTGACCAGACAAATACAGAATTACCAGAAGCAAAAGGAGACAGTACATTTATTATACTATCATGAAAACAAGAGGATATTTATCAGTTGCAATGAATGTTCTGGGAGGTTGTAACAGAAAGTGCTTGTAATGACGTATAAAAGAATAGTCACATGACTAAGCAAGCATTATCTCCAGAGGATCTCCATGTTACATGTAAATGCAATCGAACATGAGCAAAGATGCAAAGCTTCATACCGCTTACTGAGTGTCCTCTCACACGGTCACAGAAATAAGTTCAGAACACATCAGTACACTGCAATGTGTCCGTTGTCCGCACAGCAAAAATATATTTTTGTATAGGACGACTTTACAGGCGAACATACCAAGTTATTTCAGTCAGTGTAGCGACGGGCTGCGGGTTGGATGACGGAGGAACTGGTGTTCGATTCCAGGCAGAGGTAAGGTATTTCTCTCACTCCACAGGATCCAGATCGGTTCTGGAGCCCACGCAGTCTCCTATAAGATGGGTTCCGGGGGGCTGTTTCACAAGGGCATGAAGCACACCACTCACCTCAGTTTACTGTCCAGGCCAAGAATAGTGAATTACCTCCACTTCCCCACACGTCTTCTTGGTGTGGGGCACAGGGACAACTTTACTTTTGCCTTTATTCCATGAGCCAGGATAAGTAATACATCGTGTAGAAGTGTCATTTATCCTTATAATAAAGACCACTGTCTTGTGTGACATCGTGTAGTCTGGTAGAAGTTTACCAAGATTTCGGAAGAATTGCTTCCCAGCTTGAGAGTCGAAGAGAAAACTGACAAGCAAGCAAAATAATTATACCCTGAAGAAGGAAGCTGTTAGTTCCTCCGAGATACTGGTACGATTACATGGTGTTGCACATCCCAGATAATGGTACATTTCATAATTGCCGTCTTGAGAACTTCATATCTCACTTACTCTCCTCAGGTTCATGTATTTAGAGAATTGTGCGTGTATATTGTACGTGTATTTGGAGATTATATTAGAATGTCTGATTTCTACACTGAACATCAAACGTTGAAATACTGTTCAAATCTTGGAATTCAGAAACCCAGACGCTTACACCGGAAACACATTATGGCGACGTGACACCGTCCTCTAACCTCACATCTGTCACAAGTTTGATTCCAGCTACTCTGACGGCACCCAGAACAGCCACACGTTCACTTATTCACTTGTCTTCGTAGTGTTAACTGAATCGTAACGATTCTATGACTAGTCATTGGCGACGGACATTCGCTCCTGCGGGAGATATCGCATTTGTTTTCGGGGAAAATTTATGGGAAATTTTCGGCCAAATCCTCAGCCCCAAAATTCAATGCCGAACAATACCAATGGGTACCAGAGGCTCTTTCCCCGGGAGTAAAGCGGCCGGGGCGTGAAGCTGACAACTCACCTCCAACTACTATCGAGATCAAGAAAACCTGGGTTTATATATATCCATTCGCCCATACGACTTCATGGCGTAGTGCTTAATTAGTCAAGTACAGGGATAACTTGGGGGCACGCGGTAGCGTAGTGGTTGAGGCACTATGCTACACGTCGGAAGGTCGTGGGTTCAAATACCGATGAGGCCATGGAATCACTATGTCCCTGGGGTTCACTCAGCCTCTAACAGAAATGAGTACCAGGAATTAATTCAATAATTTTTCTGGGGAGTAAAGCGCGGCCAGCGCGTAAGGCTGACAACCTTACCGCCATCTTTGAGCCGATTGTCTAGATAATGTGGGACCCTCAACGTCTCACAACCCTATGGGCCTTCACGGCCTGGTACAGGAATAGCTGTACTTTTACAGGGACAACTTTACCTTTATATAAGGTAATAATATTATGCGGCATGCACTGTCTTCGCTCGCTCGGAAGTTGGGATCGTGGGTTCGAATCCCACTAAGGGCATGGATGTTTATGTGCGTTTTTCTGTGTTTGTGTACAGGTAGAGGCCTTGCGACGAGCTGATCACCCGCCTAAGGAGTTCTACCGTATGTCTAAGATCTAGTAAAAAACTGAAGTGAAACGGAGAGTTTCATGGAGGCAGGCCTAGGCCCACTGGGGCTGTAGCGCCAATAAAAAAAAATGTTATTCAAAATATAATTTCTGATTTTTAATGAATGCAGTAATTTTAATTAGATATGAACTGGAATTTGACGGTCGGCTGTTCCTCCAATTTGCTGTAGGCATCAGTCTGCTCAAATGGTGTTCCTGCAGACACGCTACAAGACGCGAATGGGAAACCAAAGTAAGCGTAACAAATGAAAATACTTACCAGCGTCGGTGAACTGAATCACGAGGAAAATAACGACGCCTATAGTAGTGCCGATTCGTAAAGACAGCCCTGGCCCTGACGCCATGGCGCTCCCTACCCAGATCTGCAACAAGATATGCAAGAAATCAGCTGATAAACTTAACACATTATAAAATGGACCAACACAGTTCATTGTGTAACTAGCGAACTATCCCGAAGTGTGCGCATAAATCTACAGTTTCTTCATAGTTTTTTAAGACTGATTCTGTGTTCAGACGTAATTTAAAATTTCACTCAGTTTGCCGAGCAGACTAGCTTAGCAGTAACGCCCTAGGAAGTCCTCGATTAGAACATCGGCCGGGACACTGAGGTTTTTCCTGATTTATCTCAGCCGCTTCTGTCAACTCCAGATTAGCCTCCCGATTTTAAGCCATGGAGCACAGACAATGACAACTCAGTAATCTACAAAGCAGAGTCACTGACTGCTTGGAGATGAGCCCTTCTTCAGAAGCTGTCAACTTCGTGGCTACTCAACAATTGTCGAACATTTTATAGAACCCCGAAGGTTCATTACCGTGCCCACAAGAGCACTCCACTAACTCCCATTATGAGAAAGATCAATCCAGTCCATACCACCCCATCCAATCTCTCTATGAACCATTTTAATATTATGTACCAACGTCTTGGTCTGCCTACTGAACTGCCGACCAAAATCCTACATATACACTCATCTTCTCCCCATTCGTGCTACATGTCATGCCCCTTACTTCAAAATTCATTCCAAAAATCATCATATCCGTTTTATTTTTCACTAATTATCCTATCAGGTAATATTATGTAGCTTGGGTTACTAACAGAATAGTTAAGTAAACCATGAATAATAAAGAAAATAATTTAAAACAAAGACATACAGAACTGACGTTTGAGATACTTTTCGTTAAAACAATAAATAAAGTCTAAATGTAAGGTAGTGCAGCCTGTGTATTAGCCATCAACAAATCCGCTCAGATATGCATTACACGAATCAATATCCAATCTTTGACGATATGAGATCTTGATAACGGTAGTTAGAGTTCCAATTTCTGAAGATACGACACCGTGTAATCCGTTGAAATTCGACAGACGTTTCGGAGAAACATGTTGCCTCCAAAGTGTCAAGGAATAAGCCAAGCAAAAATCCAGCATGAAGCACGTAGCAAGCAGACGCTACTTCCCCTGAAGACAATTCAGCAGATACTCCTAACTTTCAATATAACATATGAGGGGGGACCCCAAGAAACGGAATTTGTTTACAAAAAAAATTATTTATTTTTACGTAACAAAACTTTAATCCCCTTCAAAGTACTGTCCATTTGATTCAGTGCACTTGTCAAAACGTTTTCTCCACTGCTCAAAACATTTTTTAAATTCATCGGTGGTGACGCCTTTTAGTGCTTCAACATGAGCAAAACGTTTTCCCTTGAGGTCTCTCTTCATCCGAGGAAATAAAAAAGTCGCAAGGGGCAAGCTCGTGTGAGTACGGAGGGAGGGTGTCATGCCTACTCAGCGTTGTGTGGGCATGCGCGTTGTCATGATGAAAGAACCATTCACATGTTTGCCAAAAATCGGGACGTTTTCTCCTTAAACTGTTATGCAACCTCCCTAAAACTTCCAAATAATAATTCCGGCGATCTTCCAGGATGATTCGACGAATTTTTGTCACGTTTTCATCAGTTCGGGAGGTCGAAGGACGTCCACTTCAAGGTTGATCATTAGTTGACATTTCACCACGTTTGGAGAGGGAGAACCATTCGTAAATTTGTATTTTACTCATGGGGGCTTCCATGTAGGCTGTTTGTAACATAACCGTTTCTGCTGCTGTTTTCCCCAAAGGGAATAAAATTTCACACCAGCACGTTGTTCGTGCGAATCAGCCATTAAAAAATAGAAGAATTATAAAAAAGTCACTTGGGAAAAAATTTACCGAACACTAACGCAAACTTCTCTAATGACACCAGCCGGCATGCTAATTCAGGAAGCTGCTGCAAACAAGCACCTAGCGGCGGAAGCCTGTACTACAAGCGCCTCGCCTTCTAGAAACAAATTCCACTTATTTTTGGGGTCCCCTTTCGTATACTCGTATATGGCATTTTCCACGCACAGTGCTCGCAAAAAAACATTACTAAGATCCTGAAAATATATACAAAATCAAGGTTCGCATATACAGAGCCAAGCTATCATTTGTATTCAAGAAGAACACATTTAAAATAGGTCTAAATCTGTGGTAGTTATTAGGTAATGGGATCAAAAGGTCTTTATTACAAGGTGTGGTGTTATGCGGACACGTGGTTATGTCATGGGTCGCATGCACGCAGTATGTTGGCACGTTTCGATCCGTGTACTAATGCTTACAAGACGTGTACTGTATGTATACAATAGCTATAGAAGAGGATGTGCTTCGCACGCTTGATTGTTTGCAATAAAGCACGTGACGTCAACAAGAGGCTCGAGGGATTCCCACGGCACACACACATTTGCCAGTCTCGGATTCCTTGGCCAACTGGAAGAATGGCACGGATGCAGACAGCGCAGTACATAATATACTGTGACATATGTACCAATGGGATGCATAAACACAGGAGCTGCCTAATGACAGGGGCCAGTAGCGGGTTAGTGTAGTGAACCTAATGGATTCAGTGCAGCTGTGCAACTATTGGGTTCTCATGAACATGCCAGTTCGAGCGATAAGTAGATGCATTAGAAATGTATAGTAGATAGATAGGTGAACAGACTAGGAAGACAGATTAGATTATAATGATAAGTTAGATAAACAAGAAAATCAGATCGTACATTAGAAATATTAGATTATATAGATATATTAGGAAGACAGATTAGGTGATCTCGTATGATAGATTAGATAAAGAATGGCTTAAATAGATTAGATAGCTAGACTCAATATGTATATCACAAAAGCGTCAAACAGTCGACAGATGAAGTGGAATGGATCTGGAAGGAAGGGGTTGTGGCTTAATCGGAGTATTATCCCGATATTTTCCTGGAGAGACTGAGGAAAACTAAGAAGAATCTCAGTAAGAATAGCCGGTGCCACGGCCTACATTCGAACCGAATACCTACAGAAAACGAGACAGAGACAAGCACAAGACATACAGACAGACATATTAAAGAGCTCAGAATCAACGGAATCTATGGAAGGCTGCCTTAGATTTAGATTTGGGAATTTTGTTGGGATGAGGATTTATATTTTATTTTGTTATGAATACAAATCACGCTACTTCCATCTCTCCTACCCTGAAGATGGAAGCAATATGGTCTTCCGAAAAATTAGCCATATCCCAGACTACAGTGTCATAATATACTATAAAACCAAGGGGAGGGAGACAAATGCCAAAGGTTTCTTAATATCCTAGGACTTGCCATTTGTCTCTCCCTTGTTATTCGCTTGGTACATCTTCTGTTCTCGTTATGGGAGCAGCACGTCCTTCGGAACCCTAAAATAACTTCTACAGGATTCCAAATATACGGTCCTTCAGACTCTGCACTGTGAGAGTCTAAAATCCAGCAAGATGCGGTGTGTTGTGTGTGAGGTGGGAACTGCATTTCTAAATACGTATTATTTGCATGGATTTCATGTTCAAAGGGAATGATTTTTAATCGTTTATTTTGTCAGAATTCTGACTTCCGAATTTATGTCAGCGTAACACATAATGGCTTGGTTATCGTCAGAGTGAACACGTGTTTATGGCATACCCGGTGATGGAACACATTGTAGGCCGACAAATGAATATTCCTAGCAGCTACGAGATTCTCATCAGTAGTGTTGCCACGCACATCTGGGGCTAGGAGTGACAATGTTCACTCACTTGAAGACACCAGTCCGGTAATTACATTTCGGTACATAGATAAATCCTATGATATCCAACCTTAAAGCCGTGGGCAAACTGGTGCACTCGGAAGGGGCTTTGGGTGCACTCTAGAAGTATAGATCATTAACATTTTATTTGAACATTAGTGTATTCTAGAAGAGTAGTTCTAAAATTTTGGCACTTGGGAGTGCATCACACTATAATTACAACAGAGAAGTGTTTTCTTTTGCAGTAGTTGTTTGAGGCACTATGTTACAATCCTCAAGAACGCGTGTGTGATTCCCGATGAGGTCATTGGATTTCTCAATTGACCTAGCCCTTCCAGCCGCACTATGGCCCTGGGGTCGACTCAGCCTCTAACAGAAATGAGTCCCAGGAATCTTCCTGGTGGGTAAAGGGCTGTCGGCGCGTGAGGCTGACATCACCGCCATCTGCGGGCCGATTGTCTACAGAAAATGTGGGAGGACCGACCCCTCACAACCCTATGGGCCTCCACGGCTTGGTACAGGGAAAGCTTTAGTTTATCATTTAATGGCACTGTCAGTATCAGTACTACATGGCGTCGAGATGAGACAAAATTTGTAAGAAAAGTTCGTCTTTTTTAATGCCTGTATAAATATATGTAATATCACGTGGATCTATAGATCCACTCCCCATACTTCGTGACGTAGTGCTTATTAGTTAAGCAAGGGGACAAATTTGTACCAAACATATCATCAATAATCCATGTCTTATCAAAGGAGAGTGTATGGTTATGGCTACGAAATCACTCTATCGTCGCTACGCAACGGCTCGATAAAGAATTTCCCATGACATATGTATGTTTCGATTTCCCTATGAATATAGGAATAAAGTTGAAAAGAAAGGTTCTAACGCCGACATAACAGTCTACGTCATTATCTGACGATGGCGTAACCTCATTGCCATAGCAGATGGAGCATAGGGACGAGCCTGATGTCAAAGAATCCACTATTTTCAGGGACAATCAATAAGGCAAGGTAAAGCTAACCCTGTAACAGGCCGTGAAGGCCCGTAAGGTTGTGAGACATTGAGGCATCCACATTTTATCTACACAGTCGGTTCTCAGATGGCGATGAGGTTGTGGGCCTTAACCACCGGCCGCCTTAACCCCCAGGAAGGTTTCTGGTACTCATTTCTGTTAGAGGCTGAGTCGACCCCAGGGCCATAGTTCGGCTAGAAGGATTAGGTCAATTGAAAAAAAAAAATACCTCATCGGATACTCGAACCTGGAAGCTTCCGG